TCTTGCATGATATTTTTAGAATCCTGCAAAATCTTGTTTAAAAAAAATATATATTCAATATTGATTTCCATTTTCATCTTTTTTTTAACCCTTAGAATTGGTTGGAGACTTTGATGCCCTGTCCAAGCAGGAGTCCTAAGAGAGTCCCTAAAACACGGACTACACTTAACAAGACCAGCTTTGCGGTGAGACCAGCCAAGCGTGGAAACATTCTCAAGAATTTGATCTATTACCGGACTTTCTTACTGTTGCCCAGAGCCTGGGCCAGTTTGGACTTCTGTCAGGCACAGAACTGACATTTGTTTTCATCCCATTTATCAAGAGGAGCAAAGTTTTGAGCTCTTTTTTGACCCCCTTAGTCGAGGGAGAGATACCTCGTCATTCTTTCTGTGTAGACGGCCTCCATGGATTTTCCGTACATGGAATATTTTTCTCTCAATACAAGATTTTGTTCATGTTCTTCGCAAGTACATGGTATTTTTTCCCTAGAAGTTCATGGAATATAAAACTGATAATTAAAATGAGAAGTATAAGTTTTTTCATATTGGGCCCGATACAAGCCATGATAGTGTTTATCAACTTCATACAGTTATCGGATACATTAACGCATATAATTTAATTGTTCACGAGAGAAAATACCTCGGATTCGCTCCACTACAAAGAATATGTTTCAAGAGAAACACTCCTCACAGGCCATGTCTTCAATTGGTTGGTGCGAACCCCTATATCTAGTATCATTTGCAATATCAGGTGGATTCATAACGTTCTTGAAATCGTGAATAATTCAAGAAGTTGGCATTACAATCCATAAATTCCAATGCAAAGATTTGTTTAGTTTCAGTTGTAGTTAAGAATACATTGTATTTAATATGTTACATCCAATCCTTGGTATTTAGTTTGTATTCTAATTTTCCCATTTACATGTATGTGTAATGTCTTAGTGTAAAGGACTGGAGGTAGTTTATTGCTCAAAAGAATAAGTTTGTGAGGCAATTTTATTGCCAGATCAGCACCAATACCTGTTTTTATGAACTTGTTAAATTGGTCTCTTCTTTTGGAGCTTTTGAAAAATCATCATTGAAGCAAACCCATCACCATCCCCCCTATGAAATTCCACTGTCCTGGGCAGTTAGTTGGTCATAGTTCACTGATGGCAATTAGTAGTTGAAATTCCCTAGCCCACATTCGACTACATGTATAATTGATTTCATTGCTGCGGATTTTTTGTATCAAAAGCTGAATGTTGCAAATGATTTTAAACGTGACTGAGGCCCAGCGCCAGGCCTATTGGCAATTTGGTTAAATATAGGCCCTTGGGTTTCAATTTATTCAAGTTTGATGGTTGCCTTTTAAAGCCTCGGTCACAAATGCCATTACGAACTGCTACGAACTTCGTACGAACAATTTTCAGACCAAGGAAATTCGGTAAGATCATGGAAAACGGAGATTCGGTAAGATCATGGAAAACGGAGATTCATACGAGTGCATCGATCGTACAAACCTTTGTGACCGTAGCTTTAGGTTCCTTCAGAATGGTGCAGAAAGCAAAAAAGGGTGTGCAAAATTTTTGTATTAAACTGAAAATGTCTCTTTTTGTATTTAATTTTTTAAGAATTTCCTCAAGAGGCACCTCTATTTTAATTATATTTTGTACTTGAGAGTAGGTATTAGATGATTGCATGATATTACTATGTTTTCTTTACATGTGATTGTCAAGATGTTAGAGTGTAATGGGATATTAGTAGAAGACCAGCCTGTAGGTCCCGTGACCAATCTCTTGGAACAAATGTTTGACCATAGCGCCCTCATTTAAGGTCGGAGGTATAACAAACTATACATTTTTGGAATCCTTATGACCAGACGAGTAATTTGATATGCAACTTGATAAGGTTCACTGTGTTGGTGAATTTGACTACCATTCAAAAGTGTGTTGACCTTTCAACGTTTTTGACCATAGCGCCCTTATTTAAGGTCGGAGGTATAGCAAACTATACATTTTTGGAATCCTCATGACCAGACGAGTAATTTGATATGCATATTGATACGATTGGAACTATTTTAATTTCTATCCCTGTGTGACCTTTGTTGACCCCTCACGAAAAAGCCTGGGATTTTCAAGGGGGCAGCCCAAGTCAAAATTGTTCGGTATTCATCAGGGAACACAAAAACACTTTCAAACCTTTGTTCCCCGAGTTTGGTCACGGGACCTATAAGCTGGTCTCCTACTATATACATATTTGGAGGTTGACTTTTTTTTCTCCCAATTCTTTTGGGACCAGGGGTTCTTCTCAAACCAAACTCTCCAGCCAATGATCACTTTCATCATTTATCCAATGTAAATAACTTCCTTTTTTGTGTTCATTGAGGATGGTTATGATTTGCCTACCAGATTTGCGCAAGATATTTACTCTAAACATTGCTCATACCTCAAAAGTTATGTGTAAACAGACTGTGTTGGAACATTGCGACAAGAAGCTAGCTTGTACTTGCAGGAGATCATTGAGAATTTTGTATGCAATTTATTAATGTAATTGAACGTTTAATTGCTTCGTATGAACATTGCAGTATGGCTTGCACACTAACTGTCTTGATGGCATCTCAAATTCATACCCACTTGGTTGTGCTTGGTAGAAAGCGTTGCACACATATTTGTCTCAACTCTGCAATTGAGTTAATTTCCTTCCGATGTTGGCAAGGATTGATGCAAATTGAGACTAATCGCTGCTTCAATAAGTACTAGTTTAACAAGTTTACAAATTTGAATTGTATACATGATTCAAAATGTTTAGACATAATTAGTGGTGAAAATGTGGTTGTGCTTGGTAGAAAGCGTTGCACACATATTTGTCTCAACTCTGCAATTGAGTTAATTTCCTTCCGATGTTGGCAAGGATTGATGCAAATTGAGACTAATCGCTGCTTCAATAAGTACTAGTTTAACAAGTTTACAAATTTGAATTGTATACATGATTCAAAATGTTTAGACATAATTAGTGGTGAAAATCAGGAGCATTTCTAACAATAAATACTGTGTGTATTGTTGATTCCATGGCATGCATTCAGTCCTTTATGGGTATGAATGTTATTTGATTACATTAATATAAAACCAGAAACTTTTGCAAATTAAGGATGGCCACTTTCACTTAAAGAAACTCGCAAGAGACTTGCGAATCTGAACCGTTCTTCAAGTGTGTGAACATCCCTTGCATGGTCAAGTTTCTGATTTTAGGCTGGTCTATTTAATCTTTCTGAAGCTGGCCAATGTTTGTATGGAGAAAGTTCATTGGAGCTTCTACTTTTTGTAAAGATAATAGCTAATGAATAACCCAATGCAGAAGGGGGAAATGCACAATTGGTGATGACAACTAGATTATTGAATATTAAAAATGATTATTTATTACAATTTTTCATACCTTGCACATGAGAAGCTATGTTCTTTTTAAAAGGACTTGTTAATGCATCAAAAAGCATGCTTTCAAATTCAATTCATCTTGGATACGACCATTGCTAAGGGAGCTTTGAAGGTATTTTTCTTTACTAACCAATGGGACAGTCGCAGTGTAATTTATCAAATGACTATGAGATGAGGGGAGAAATAAGTTTGCTCTGATTTACATAAAAAAGACAATAATTATGCTTATGGATCTAAGATTCATGATTTATTCATCAAATTGTATAATAGACATTTTTTCTAAAAACATGTACATGTAGCATGCATTTAAGTCATTTTTTGGTGAGTAACAGTACAATAAAAAGTACAAAACAGTTGTACACTGTACATTGTAAACACAACTTTTCTCTTTCTCTTTTCCTTTTGTACTTGTATGTCGTGTAGATCTTTGTGGCCAGAATTTTTTTTAAACATGGCCTAAACAACGCTGCCTAAATTATTATTTGAAGAAATTCATGTCCTACTTTCAGCTTACAATATCATGCCGAGTGGATTCCTCCTTCTTTAGTTACACATGAATACACGGTTTTCTGTACACGTACTATCTTTCCATCAGAATAGACTGAATACGGTGAGCTAGCTGACAACAAAATTACACCAAAGATTAGGTTTGGGATTGATTTTAAGTTCGATTTAGGGCAAGGGTTAGGTTTGCCGTTCGAGACTTTGGTCCATAGAAGTTGGGAGTCCTGCTTCCACAACAAATACACGTAACAATAACATAAACAAATTATTTTGTACATAATATATGCACATTCTCATACAAAAGGTAAAACAGTTGAAGTACTTTATGGATTGCGATAGGAGTGTCAAACAAATCCCAATGGAAAACAAAACGCGTCTATTTCCAGAGGTCCAGCTCAATCTACCTGAATTTCCCCCTTTCTAAACACTCAAATTATGCTCACTGCACATCTGAGTGTGATTCACATCTCGAAGAAAATGAATTGTCATTGGATCAATTTTTTTACAAGCTTCATTTTATTGAACAATAAATTATTTTGAATCGGATATTGCTCAAACTTTCACTAGTTTTCTGCTTTTATTAAAACCAACTTGAAATCGGGGTAGATTTCCCCTTTAAAGGGATAGTTGAGTTCTGTTGCATAGGGCACTACACAAAATAATTTGGTTGTGAGATAATGAAAAACTGAGTGTCAAATTTGAAAGAACATACAATTTAAATGACAAAATCATCTTTGTTTGATCAAAATCGGTTCAGAGACGGCTGAAATATCCATAAATATAATGAGTTCTAATACTTGTTTACCACCACAAATATTCAATAATTTGAAAGCCGTTGAAAAAAACGAAATGGCGCCTTTTACGTTACGTTTCAGCCAATGCCGATGTTGGCTTTTCTGTTGGCTTTTTCGTGTTGGTTATATTACGCACAACCAGCCGGCCCATGTATTGTTATTTTTAATTAATTAATGGTCACCATATTTTTTTTTTTTAAGTGGAGCTGAATTGGTATGATCGTATTGGATAAATTTCACACATTTTGGGGTCTAAAATTACCTTCATAGCAATTTAAGGTCCTAAAAGGGCACTAGAAATGTCATAGATAAGAATAAGAGCAATAACCATGCACTTTGAAGGCATTTGCACTCTGAAAACAGAACTCAACTATCCCTTTAACCTCCAGAAATCAGAAAACTGACATTGTTTTATTTCTGCAGGCTGAAACTAAAAAAAGAAATTGCAACAGATTTGAACAACCCCTGTCCCCATTGAGGTGGAAACGATACTGGAACACCAACTCCGTTTGCACCTGCCAAAGCCCTGTTCTCCTGATGATCTGAATGGTCCATAATCGTATTCTATCAATTTGAACCGGTGCTAGGAACCAGTCATTTTTAAACAAAGAGAAGACTTAGACCACGGTCCAACTTCTTTTGTTCAACTCAAAGTTAGTTTAGATGAAACTTCAATCCAATATTGGATTTACATATTAGTTGAAGAGAAGCAAATGGGGGAACCCCCTGGCCGAGACCCTGCACCAGAGAAGCAGGATGACCCCCTGAATCACTTCTCAAAGGAATCTGATCAGTCTTTCCTGCAGAGGTCGTTACTGCAGTAGATTTGACTGTTCATTGTCTAGGAGATGCTGTCATAAGCCTTCAGTTTCATACTTCATATCTTCCATTGCATCCGTTATCTTCTCCATTACCTGTGCCAATCTGACAAATTAAATAAAAAATTATGAAAAGGATAAAATTCTCAGCACACCCAGAAGTTAGACGGATCAAACGAAAGCTAAATACTTAACATTCTTTAACTTTAATGCATTATAAAATATAAATAAAATTATGAAACTGTACATAGCAAAATATATTTTAATAGTACTTAGAGGTTTTGTAGGATTACAGATCACCAAGGAGTGAAAAGTCTCAGTCCAAAAGCCTTCTTTGGAAAAGAGAAATAGAAGGAGGTGGGAAAAAAGAATGAGAAGGAGATGAAGGAGGATAACGAGAAGGGAGGAGAACAAGAAGGAGAAGAAAGGAATGCAGCCTATCTTCAGTCTACCTAACATTCCTATCCATCTATATTTATTTCAGTTTACACGCCAAGTGTATGAACTTGATTGGTATTGGAGATATATATATATATATATATAAAACCACCACAATCCATAACATATGAAACTGAAATCAAATTGCTGGAAACACTTTTAATCAAATAACGGAAATGTGACGGTAAGAGATCTATACGTAGCAGGAACAACATAATTATTCTTCATTCAAAGAGAGAGGTGTCGGGAGGGGGGCAGAACCATTTGCACAAAACCTTTCAGATCAGCCGGTGCAACTTACCCGTTTTTCAGATCAGAAACCTCCCTCTTGAACTCGTCACAACCAGGCTCATCCTGCAATTTCTGTTTTGTCAGTTGAAAGGCTGCAGTCTAAAAAAAAATAATAATAATAATAACACACACATTAAGGAATAAAATTGACAATAATAGTGCAATGAATTATTAGTCAACCCAAGAGGAAATAATTAAATAATTTGATTTTTTAATAATAATTGATGGATAACTAAAGACTCATTTAGATTTTGTCATCAACTTATCTGATTGATCTAGCCATTTAAGAACTCAGGCCAAGCTTTGATTACCATGTTTTTGGTAAAGATGTAAGCCAATAGAGAGTGAATCCTGTTTTCAGAAATGTCTCCAAAAAGCTGACAAGATAGAGAAAGTTTGTCTATTTGGGTCAAATAAGGCATGAGGGGTTGGGTTTTTCTAGGTGAAAAACATGAAATATTCCTCAAACCTTTTCAAGTTTGTCCTGTTCTGCTTCCTGTATCTTCTTCAAGCAATCAGCAACGGCAACTTTCTGGTACTCTTCTCGAAACGCCGCCTCAATGCTGATGATTCTCTGGGAGATACGCTTGAAATCCTCTGTTCTGTCATGTACTACCTGACGGTATGCTTCAAAGTCATAGTCTGGTGATGTATTCAAGTATGCTTTATGCCCTCTGTTGGGAAGTAAGGCAAGGATATAAAATAATGTCAAATTTAATACCGGAAGACATAATCTGCTGTTGCGTTGCTTGGCAAATTTAAGATTTAATTTCATAGGCAGGAATGATATACCGTTATTGCAAATGAATCAACTTATTTCCACAATTTTTCAATACCATTTATAAAGCTTGGAAATTCCTTGTCAAAATATACATGCTGCTTTTTAGTAATGTACATTTCAAATAAACATTTACAAATGCAACAAACAGTTACATTACATTGCAAACATTTGAAGTATAATTATCATTGAATTGAATGTTGTTGTTTTTTGCACCATACTAATCAAATTACATTTTAGTGATTATTGATACAAACATAATACAAAATATAACAATTTTGTTGAATGTGTACCCAATACAATAATAATAGAAATGTTGACATTAAAACAAAATGTAACTGATAACATACTACCAAGAATTATTCATTAAGAAATCTGCAGATTCTTAATTCCATCTGATTTAAAGAAGCAAAGTATTTCTACCTGGAGACCAATGCAAACAAACAATTATGACTGTATGACTCACTGTAACCCCAGTGGAAAACAATTTTCTATGTAACTTGTTTGCAAAGACCACATAAAATATATTGTATCTTGTATCTTGTAATTGGAAAAACATCAAAGAAATGATAATAAAACATTAAACAGAGAGACATACAAGTTAATGATATTCAAGTGAGGCGCATACTGTAAATGTAATTGTCTTTTTTATTTCAGTGTTTAAAGGCATTGTTTAACAACGTTAAATCTGAGATGCATGGCCCTACGTGTAATCAGTGTCTGTGTGATGGTGCAATATTGAAGCCCTAACAAAATTGCGCTTCAAAATGATCATGAAGTGCCTCAAAAAAGTAAAAAATCTTTGAGTGACCGGTTTTACAATACTCATTTCCCCCAATAGAATGTGGTGTTATGAAAACCATTAGGAAAATGGAAAATTTGATTTCGATTTCCAATCATAACTATCTTGATAATCAGACAGGCGATCGGCTTGTAAAAGTCATGGGGTTCCTGACTGACCTAAATGTTTATAATCATGACTGCAGCATGAGTTAAATCCAGGATGTTGTTACAGAATCTGAGACAATGTTACTGAGTCACTTTAAGCATTGCTTGAGTAATGGTAGTTGTCAATCATCTCTTCACTCTCTTCTTCACTTACTCATCTAATAATTTGTAGACTTTGACTCTCTCCTCCTGCAGAGAATAGAACTCATGTAGCATTGTCTGTGGTCCTTCATCCTTCTGGAAATATAAAGACAGGACAATTGTAAGATATTAAACTCGAGCAAAGATCGCCATCAAACTTTACCTACAGCATTTCATTGATTTACTGGATTGGTTTTGATGTATGGCATTGCCACCGATGTGTAGTTGTCCAATACTATAGTCAGATGATGATTTTTTTTTGTGTTACCTAATGTCTTTGAAGCTTTGTTATTTTCTTTAATTTCACTGTCTATGCTTATGCCTGGTGTATAAAAAATCAGCATGTACATGTACGTCAGTTTAAAAGAGGTGGACTTGGAGTTCGCTAAATTCAGCAGCCTCTGTGCACTAGCGCACTCAGAAGGTGGTATACAGAAAATCCAAGGTTTGTCACGTGTGGGAATGCAAATGGGCAATTACAAAGTCATTGATTTATAATTAAGTTTTTTGTTTGCACTACTCTTTGCGCATGGGTATGGATGCCAATTCAGGTTAAGTATATCAATATCCTATTTCAGATTTTCATCTGGCCTGGTGAGAGAGGATCATCTACCAGCCAGCCAGACCATCATTGTCAAATTATACGACTCAGGGACCCGTTCCTAGAAACCGTCATAAGTCTAACTTCTTGACTATCCCATTGAAATGCGTGTTAATTCTATAACACACGTTTCAATGGAATAGTCAAGAAGTTAGACTTATGACGGTTTCTAGGAACGGGCCCCTGATCTGCCCAGCCCAAACCGGCCGCGCCAACCGGCCTGGCTGTAACTAGCGAGCATCACGGTGCAGAATTACACGGCCACTTTTCAATCACACTCTCACTCTGCACAATTCAACGCGTAATCTAATAATTTCGGCCATAATTTCATCAGCAAACTTTAAATACAGTCAGGGAGTTATAGTTACCATTTTGATTATTCAATTGTGAATTCGGTCACTGCTCATCAAATTTTGCTGGTTTTTTCGAGGATTCTGCCTCACCGCGGTCTCTACTGCAGACAAAAGTCAATGTTAATATTGCGTAATAGATGAAACTGAAGTTTACAGCCAACTAGCTATCTGCGTAATTTAACGAAAACATCCACGGTATCCTTAAAAGACTGATATAAGTGTAAATTTAATTTGTCACATCATTTTTAGCCACCAACAGTGACGTAGCGCCGAGGGTGTTATTTTCTGCAATAAATCGAATGCCAAGAGAGAGAGAGAGAAAGAGAGAGGGAGAGAGAGAGAGAGAAGAGAGAGAATATATATAGAGAGAGAGAGAGAAGAGAGATAGAGAGAGGGAGAGAGAGAGAGAAGAGGAATAGGAGAGAGAGAGAGAGAGAGAGACGGAGAGAGAGAGAGAGAGAGAGAGAGAGGGAGAGAGAGAGCTCAGGGGAGAGGTGCTTATGCATCTAGGGTTGCATCCGATATCTGTAACCAAAAGTTGTTGGAAGGCATAATCCAACGTATAGGCCTATGAAGATTTGCCTGGTATAACGTTCGTTAAATAAATATGATTTCTTTCAGACTTTGAAAGTAGGGCCTGCATGATCTCCTCTTCCAAAAGCTATTTCTCAGTTTGGTGAGTCTAGATAAACGTGGGCCCAGGCGCGTACGCAGGGGTGGAGGGGGGGGGGGGGTTGAAGGAACCCCCCGGCAAATTTTCAAATTTTGGGACCAAAAATATATATATTTGTCCTCTTCCCCCCCTACTATACTACTATACATATTCAATTGGTTTCGACATTTATACATTATTTTTTTATGCTCTTTCAGGAAATGAAGACAAAATTAAGGAATTCCAAAATAGATTTGTATGATGTCACAGCTTCGGTACTCTACTGACTGCATTTTCGGGCACTCCATGCCCATGCCAGAGAGAAAGGACCATTCTGGATTCTCACTGCCCAAAGATTGATATTCGGGCATGACCCCGCTACCCAAATATGATTCTGGCACCGAACTGCCCGAAATGTTGGCTTGCGGCCCTCATCATCGCCCCCCCCCCCCACCACCATTAAAAATTGAGTCATCATTTTTAGGGACAGTCTGGTCTCCTTCAAGTTGAATCCACTCTCAATCCAGGAAAATGTACTCAACACCCCCCCCCCCCCCCCCTCTTGAGCAAAACAAACAAAAAATGTTAAATACCATTATTATTTTTACTTCTTTTTTTCCAGGGGTGGGGGCCTGTCCTTTTTTGTCTTTTTTAGAGGTAAAATTGTCGTAACCATCTTTTTTTAAAACTTTGGTTTTGCCTGGGATGGGGCCCTGCCCTGCCCCCCCCCCAATACCCCCACCCTGGATCCGCCACTGCCCGAGTATAGAAAATCACGCACATAGTTGAACAGTGGTGGATCCAGGGGGGGTCGGAGGCCCTGGACCCCCCCCCCCCTGGGAAAAATGAGTATTTAAACATTTTTTAACGTTAATGTTACCTTTTTTTGGAGATGGACCCCCCCCCCTGGCGTTCAAGGGGGCCAACCAAAAAAAAGTGCTCACTACCCCCCCCCCCCCCCCCCCCCCCCCCCCCCCCCCTCCCCCCCTGAGCGAATTTTCGGCCTACGCAATTTTCAAAATTTTGGGAGCAAAAAAACAAAAAAAAACGAAATATTGGTCGGCACGATTTTCATATTTCAGCACACTACATTTCAAATTATTTTCAAACTTGGGCCCCTACCCCTAAGAAATCCTGGATCCGCGCCTGCATAGTTCCTCCGGAGGGCACACAATTTGATGAGGCAATACAAGGGGTAACTCCTTGATTTTAAAAGCGGCTTCACCAGGGGTTTATTTCCTTTTTTTTACTCTACGATACCATAGCAGTCCAAATCATGCTTTTCTCTCCGCAATTTCAGTCGTATCTGCAGCAGACCGACGCGACGCGAAGCAATCCGCATTTCGAATGAGAATTGTAAGATTCTTTAATTTGTTTACCTCTAATTTGTATTAACTTCTGGTATTTTGCAATATTTGCTTCCTTAAGTATTCTTTTGTCGTGAAAATTAGCCATAGCCAGAAAGGAAAGAGATGAACTAGGCTCGCAAAAGTGAAATAGGCATTGCCATCGACTATCCACTTGAGTTTGCCCCGGGAAGTTCCGGGTGTGTCACTGACACTGTCATGATTTCGCCAATTCGCCTTCGCCCAGTTCGAGGCGCTAGACCTCGGGCTAGGCCGATGATCGTGTTGGAGTCGGGCAGAATTCAGAAATAACCGTCTGGTATGGGAAAAGTTTGTCACCGGAACTAAATTTATCAAACTTTCCAAATACACAGACGGTACATCATGGCATGCAAATCTTTATTGCAAAAACATTTTTTGATACAAAACTGAGCAATTAATTAACTAACAGTAGACTAACACCAAAATTGAAAAGAAATTAAAAACTCCCTCATCTGCGCATGCAGATTGACTGGAAAAATAAATTCAGAGCAACTTCTTGTACATCACATAGTTTCTCAAAACCGTCATAGTCTATATTCAAACTTCAAAGCTCATGGACGTCTACATCCCATTGAGTCAAAACTAAAAGATAATTTTGTTTGAGCAATTAATTATGCTTAGTTCTAGGTGTTTGTAATCTGATAAGATGGGGAGGTCAGTCATAGATCTATCTTCCTTGTTAGAAAAGAGAGAAAAGGTAAAATTGTAATCTTCAACTCGTTATTTTTTCTTGGTCCTTTTACAACTCCCCAGAACAGCAGAATGGCTGACGATATTGAATCCCCAGTTCTCTCCAAGGCAACGTTCTACAGTGATCTGAATGGGACTTCCAAAGGCGAAATATCTCTTATACTCTCCATCAACCCAGCATCCGTCTTTCTCAGGGCCTCCATACAGCTTCTCTTGTGTTCCTTTGGCTTCACTGAAGGTCTCATGTATGTTTCTTCGTTCTTTTGAGGATGAACAGAATTTGACAAAAAATATTTGCAACTGCCTTTATGTCATATGCTTACCGGTAGTGGTTAAGTGTCTGAGGGGGTAGTTAGATTTGTGGCAATGTTAAAATTATTCAACTATATTAGAATCTATACCTTTTTATCTTTCCTGCATTAAATGCAAAATAAAACAATAGGAAATAAAAAGTTATTGTTCAAATGCCTCATCACATTTAATAACTGATAAAACAGTTCTGCCATTGATCCCTTTCAATGTTAGGACAAAATAGATTGTAATTTAACCAGATGGATCATTTTAATAATAATTTAGTTTGTTTCGAGTAAAGTCAAAGTTTATTAACAGATATCTCTCTATTTCTCCCCACAGACTTCAGGTTTTCTTGGACTTTGCAGTCTTGACCTTACCCTTGTGCCTGTCGGTCACTCTCCTGAGCGATGGCGCTCTACATATTCTCCTCACCGAGGTTGCCCTCTCCTTTTCCTTGCTCTTTCTGGCAATCCAAATCAAGAGTACAAAGCATAAATATATCCCTCTGAAGCAGCTCGGCCAGACACCTATGGAAGGCAGACTCCCTTTCATCACAAACTTCCGAGTGTTGAATAATATCGGGGTTGCTGTCGGCATCCTGGCAGTGGACTTTGTAGTGTTCCCTAGGAGATTCGCCAAGACAGAGACATTCGGTACTGGTATCATGGATGGAGGAGTTGGTGCATACGTTCTGATGAATGCAATTGTTTCACCTGAAGCTAGGGGGCAGTATCAGAGGTTAGTTTGACACTGTTTTATCAAGTAATTTACTCAGACGGACTTCCTGTTTTATGAAATTGAAGTGGGGGAAAATATTGCTCTTTTCAATTCCAAGGCTATTCCAGGATAAACAGTTTATTAATGATATTGTCAAATCATTTACTCGGAGAGAACTTAATGATTGAAGAAGAAAAATAGTGCCCTTTTTGATTGCCAATGCACTCTGAGGAGAAACGTTTTATTTACAATATTCTAATTTTATGATGTAGTTACGTATCTAATTCCCTTCTAGGATGAATGGTATCTACAATAAGATGCCTAATCTGTTATTGAACTGTTTTGTGTCCAGGTCAGGTTTGAAGCCTATAATGAAGTCTCTCACATCATCTTTACCACTCTTGGTCATCGGTCTTGGTAGATTGGTATCTGTTAAAGGGATAGACTACCATGAGCATGTCTCTGAGTATGGGCTACACTGGAATTTCTTCTTCACGCTGGCTGCTACTAAGGTAATGATTTTAAAGCCCCACTGCACTACTTGTAGCTACTTGCTCCCTCTATATAGAAACAATGCCTAAGTGGTGCCTGTCGGTCCCCCATGATCCTCTGTTTCTTATGTTAATTGAGAGCTGAGTTGATGAGATAACCACCTGTCAGTGACCATGCTGGATGGTCTAATCCCTCCTGGCCAAACTAGTACAGACAGGCTTTAAAGCATATTTTTCTCCTTTTTTGTTACCAGGAATGCTCAATGTTTTTTGTGGAATGAGATAGGAAAGCGTTAAGGGATAAAAGGACTATGTTGCACTTGTACATTAGGATTTGTAGTAAAAATTAGGAACCGAGGAACCTGGGTTGGAAGAGACTAATATCCTTGTTCGCATGCCACCCCCTCCCCCTCCTCAGAAAACATCCATGGCTCCTGAAAATGCAAAGAAATGTGCCATCTTTACAGAGAAGATCTGAAGAAACTTCCCTATATTGTCAAGGACAGTCATTACCATGCCAACAAAACTTTGGGAGGTGTAATAAGTCTAGTTCAGTCCATTGTGATTCAATTATTTCACAGCATGAAAACTTCACACATCTGAACAGCCTGCAAAATTTGTCATCATTTCATGCACAAAATTGTATGGGTTTTAAATTACAAACCTGGGCCCCATTTCACAAAACTTGTCATTGGTGACAAGCTAGGGAAATCCTTGGTTCTGATTGGTAATCGGCAGATTTGTCACTGATTTTTGTCATTTGTAGTTGGAAAAAGGCTTTGTGAAATGGGTCCCTGATCTACTTAAATGTCTTTATGTTTTCTCCCATCCTAGATTCTATGCACCTTGATTCTCCTCTTCACCCCCGTGAGCTGGAGTGCGGTCATATCTCTCTCCCTGGCCGTAGGCTACCAGGTCCTCCTGACCCAGCATGGCCTCGAGGACCTGGTCTTGCATGGTACAGACCTCAACGACTCCAGGGAAGGGTTCTTCAACGCTAACAGGGAGGGTCTGGTGTCGTGTCTGGGGTATGTGGCTATCTACTTTGCTGGTGTCAGGCTCGGCCAATACCTGCTGCAGCCAAGGTAAGGAATAGATGTCATTTCTCTCAAAATATTGGTGTTCTGGAGACATGGAGGTGAATTTTTGGAACCACGGCAGATGTTTTATTTAGAAAACCCCATTACACAAGTAAACCATAATCCTAACCCTATAAAGAAAAAAAAATCCTACCCTTGATCGTAATCTTAACCCTATCTCTAATACATGGTACTGATGTATGGTGGGGTATTCTATAGTTTCTTTAAAGGGAATACACAGTTTTGGTATGGGGTCATGGATTTGGTTCAAATGAACATATTTGAAGCATATGCAATCCTACAATATTCAGTGATCGTTGTCGCGGTTGAAAACGAGTCTGAAGTTATGAAATTATGAATAACTATCTCTTTATGTTGTATAGCTCCCTCTCAAGGTCAAGATATCAATAAAGCTATAAAACAATGTGTCTTGACTAAAATCGACCGATTACCTATTCCCGTTTGGAAATTATATACCACAACTACATATTCTGAAATTCTCATCGTCGCAGCTACTATTGTAAGGTCGTAGGAGCTACATGTATTTGAAATTTATCAAATTTACCGGGAGCACCGGTTAATTTTTATATTCAATTTTCTCGAAAGCAGAAGTGTTTTAGGGGATAAATTTTCTAGTGCTTATAATACATCTACAGGGGCATCCAGATATATCAAAATTGTAAAGAATCACTACCCACCCAATTTTCCAAATTTTCCAAATTTCCCAAAACTTTGTATTACCTTCACGTCTTCAAGACTATGTTTCTTGTTGATATAATTATCTTGTACAGTATGTTTTTGTCCTTGTAGGAAAATTGTTAGCGAGTGGCTGAAAGTGTTGGCATATCTCCTTTTAGCCGATGTTATCTTATGGATCACCCTTAAACACGTAGAAGCTCGCAAAGGATTGACGAGTAGACGGCTGGCCAACCTCCCATATGTCATTTGGAATGTAAGTTATGTTATTTGCAATATACCTGTATATTATACTTGTGAAGTAATGATGATACAGTCAAACCTGTCTATAGCGACCACCCAAGGGAAACACCAAAAGTGGCCTTTGTAGATAGGTGGTCTTTGTAGACAGGTTCTTTTAGTACATGGTTCAATGAGAAACCATTTTCAAGGGAAACAAAAAATGTGGCCTTTGTAGACAGGTGGTCTTTGTAGACAGGTGGTCACTAAAGCAGGTTTGACTGTATAATAATAATAACTTATAAAGTGCAATTATCTATTAACTCACTCAAGGTGCTATACAAAACAAAATACACAAACTCTCTCCAAAATGTTAACAACAAAGTATCATTAGTAACTCTGAGTAAATAAAACCTTTGTAACATGTTTCTGAAAGGTTTCTAGGCATTGAATGTTTCAAATGTCACTTGGCAGCTTGTTCCAGAGGACTGGTGCAACATGCATGAATGCACGATCCCCATAATGGGTAGTTCAGGTTCTGGAGACTTCTAGGATGTTATTTGGTCATTTGGTGTCCAATACACTGCAAAGTTGTTCTGGGCCAGGTTTCATAAAACTTGTTATCAATAACAAATGCTAAATTTCTATGATAAATTGCTCTCAGCCAATCAAATACCATGATTCCAGTAGCTTATAAGTTATAACAGTCATTGTAACTTGTTCTTGAAAACAAATTTAAAAAAACAGGGCCCTGATCTATGCTCTAGTAGGCCTATGAAAATTATATATTATGGCTGGTAATGTATGGAATATAGAGTTTGGGCTTACCCATTAATACTTTGCACATATATTTTGGTATTTTTGGATAAAAAAGTACTCTTTTCAACTTAAAAGGCTTGCTTATGGAGTGTTTAACCCAATTAATCGATGTTGAATGTGATGCATTTGTAAAAAATGATTTGTCTTATAGCAGAGAAGAAGCAATCTTCAATATGGATATACAAGTATACGTGAAATTGGGTTATTTGTGAGGGTTGCATCTAAAAAAATAATAAATCAAAAAAATTAATAAAACAATATAAAAATGACATTATTTCCGTCCAAGGTCTACTACTTTAAAGTGCATATGAAATGGGGGCCCAAGGACCTTCCAACTTTCTGTTTTAAATCCTGTTCATGCCCATATTTGTAGATAAAAAACAAGAAAACTTTAGAAAGTACCCTAAGATATATTTGTACCGTTTCCACTATTTCTATCATCTAGGTTGCATACTGTTTACATGTGCTTTGCGGTTTTCTCCTCATTGACATCATAATGACCATCATTAGACATCATTATTTAGCTAAAGGTGAGTGCTCAAATCTTTATATATACTATACACATGCTAAATAAGCATTCTCAGCTCAAAGATATTTGCTGCACAATTAATTTTCAAATAGAATATGTTCCATCATTTGAATATGATTTGTACTATATTTGCACAAGTTAATGACTTCAATATGTACCCCTATGAGTCTTGAAAATCTTTAATATAGAGTTCAAGCTCCTTTTGTAATGTTGCAAATTATATTAGTGTTCTGTAGGACTACATCAAGAAAAAATGCCTGTCAATTTTTGCAACTGTCAATCTCCCTGACATGTTTTGATCTTTTTCCTTTTGCTTTCTTTTGTTTCACCTACAGACAAATCACGGCAGCTCTCTCTATTGGTGTCTGCGATTGGTCGAAATCAGCTGCTGTATTTCTTACTGGCCAATGTACTGACAGGTCTTGTTAATCTATCGATAGACACGATACATCAGCCCGACGTGACAGCCTTTGGCATCGTTGCTTTGTATTTATTTGTACTGAACTTTGTGCTAGTATTCTTCCATCAAAAGAACATAAGTACCAAATTCTGGTAACATTTTTGCTTGTCAGTGCAGGAAAGGGTGTGGTGCAATCAGTATGTCTTTCACTCCAAGGAATAATAATCTTGTTTATTGTGATTTGCTATGGTAAAACAATGAGGTTTTGTTAGTTGGCTCATGTTCTCAATATAGTTTAACTCATTGTAATACTTACATTGATATACAGTTAACTCTACATAACTTGCAGAGGTCAAATTTTCCCAGTCATTTTTTTAAACCAAACTAACGTATGTAAAATGTGTAATTGTCACTTTCTAAGTCGCATTTTGCATTTATAAGTCAAACTAGTTTTTGCGTTCCCAACAAATTTGACTGATGTATAATTCCCCAAATATGTCACAAAGTTGAAACTATCTGTGCCAAATCCACAACATTCAATTATGAATGATATAATGTCATGTATGTGAATCATTTTTATGTCAATAAACTTTTAAGTATTTTGATCAGTGATTATACTTTGTTCATTGTTGTTAGAGGTTAAAGTAGATATCACGTCTAGGTCTTAGTTTTGGTACAGTGTATAGTAGAATGCTGGATAGAGAGAGGGAGAGAGCGAGAGAAAGAGAGAGAATTAAATAGAGAACGAATAAAGTGGGGATGGGGACGATTCAAATGATGTAAAACAAAACATGTAGGTGGAAAGGGAGTGAGAGAGAAGACTAGACAACCATAAAATGAGAGATGGATAGAGAGAGAGAGAGAGAGAGACATTCGAGAAAGGGGGTTAGAGTAATTGATCAAAACAGTTAGCATTTACTTTGCATTTCAACCTTTAGATTCCATCTATATAGATTAAAAAGAAGAAGTTGGATCCATATTGAAAATGTGTATATACAATGTCATAATATCCTTATCTTTCTCTCCCTTTTCCCCTCTTCCAGCTCCACTGTCTATGTACCCCTCACCCTTTACACTATCTCTCTCTCTCTCTCTCTCTCCTTTTCTATCTACCTCTCTCTCTCTCTCTCTCTCTCTCTCTCTCTCTCTCCATCTCGTTCTCTGACGGAATCGATAATGTATTTGCATAATTTATTTTTGATAAAAAACACAAGTATAAGAAAAAAATTCTCTCCATCGCTTGATGACGACGCAGACAACGACGCCAAGTTTCAATGACTAACCTTGGCACCACGATGACTTCATTGATGACGCAAATTCGAACACATCACATTAATCGAATAATAATTGTCTGTTGTGCCCTTTGTTGTCACTTTCGGTAATGGTTAGACGCAAGGTCAGAATGATAACCCGGGTCGGTTGTATCATCGGAACTTTCTCCGGATGCAGCTTTTACATGATTCCTCAAGAATTAATTTTATACGTCATTCATTTTTGTAGGCTCATCTGGCTATTTGTGTATGCTTGTTGGTGATCAGACATTTCTCTCGGCGGGTTTTCATTACGTCAAATCAAAGTATATGGTTCGAGTTCGGGGTTGCATCCGGGTCAGAGATCATTTTTGGCGTTAGGGTTAGATTAGTGTTTGGCCAAGGATTGAAGTTAGGGATTCGGAGTTTCGGACAGTGTTAAACATTGACCCGCAATTGTCACAGGAGCTCATTTCGTGCAACTCTATATCATGCATAATTATGTCAGACTGTTAACACTTCCCTTAATCGTTCCATAATGAACTGCTCGGGACTCTCCAACAGACCAGTTTGACGGAAATTTCCCCGCAGAAACACTGTAATAAGTCCTTCCTTGCGGCAAAGGTTTCCTTGGTGATAGTGACAGCTAGCTGAGACGCTTAAAATTGCTACCGCCAAAATGTGTATTTCTTGACCTTCTTTGTCATTGCTATTTAACAAAATTGGATTTTCTCTCAGTAAGCTTGTCGATAAAATTGGTCACACGCCCTTAAACGGATTATAGTTTTGCCTGCAAATAGAAATAACCATGATGATGTGGTATGGAGAAGAGAGATAATGGGCGCAGCGAGAGAAATTTGAGAGAAAATATAATATATAATTATGAGATGGGAGAGAGGAAGAGAAAGAGAGAGAGAGAGGGGGAGATGAAGGGGAGTGAGAGAGAGAGAAGAAAAAAGAGAGAGAGAAGAAAAAAGGAGGGGTCCGTATATAATATTGAAGCTAATATGACGTCGATAAATGATCCATGCTCATGGCTATTCATCCTCTTTTAAATATAAGCGAAATATAACTGTACTACGTTAAAATATTTTGTTAACCAAGAAACGTTCAAATAGTAAATTACCAGTTTCCTGCAGAGCAATATATAAGAGAGGGCAAATACGGAAATAGAATGTGACGGACAAGGCGGATATGAAGGGTCGTGGTTTAAAAAGATAATAGCTTCTTTTTAATTAGTCACAATAACTGGTATAGGCCTAAATAATATACATACAACAGTGTACTCGATATCATTATATTTCATTCTTTTATTCGGTATGAACACAGATATAACATCATCAGCAGGCGCGTACGCAGGGGTTGTTTTGGGGGTTAAACATCCCCTCAATTTTGTTTGAAAACAAAATGATTATTTCTTACCCCCTCCCCCCCCCCCCCCCCCCTTGAGCGAAATATCGGTCGGAGCGATTTTCAAATTTCGGGGGTGGGGGGGGGGTCAAAAAAGGAAAAAAAGTTTTCGGCATGAACCATGAACACGGATGAAATATCATTATCAGCAGGGGCGTACGCAGCGGGTGTTTGGGGGGTTAAACACCCCCCCCTCATTTTTGTTTCAATGAATATTTCTTTCCCCCCCCCCCCCCCCCCTTGAGCGAAATATCGGGCCGCGCGATTTCCAAAATTTTCAAACACCCTTTAAAAAAAATCAACAGAAATAAGTTGCCTATTATGTTGAGCAAAGAAACGGATTAGAGAAATAATAACCATTCCATTGTTTCGAATTGACAAAAGTAAATAGGCACTGAGCGGCTGACATTATGTACTGAATAAATCACACTAGCAATTATCAAATTGAATTTATTTTGTCTGTGGTTGATGATAGTGTTATTGAGTAACATGCATGGACCATTTTCAGATATTTTAAAATGACCGGACTGTATGACACAGTTAAAAGAAGTTAAATACATAATGTATTTGATAACAATAATGATGATAATACTACAATTCCATTACACCGGCTCTAGCTATAGATATATTATGCTACCGATTCGATTCTTTTCAATATACATTATATACAACATACCAGAAGTTATATGTCTGTCTTTCTTTCTACATAACATTATGACAAATAAGACAGTGAACAAAATAATTATCTAAGAGTTTATAAATGGACTGATCAAATGATGTAACTTGAACAAGTTTTGGGGGCAAGTGATAGATTTATGTTATAAATAGCTCCCAAAATCTAACAATAGAATGAAATGAAAGATAGAATATCAACGAATTGTACAGAATTACGTTCATTTTCTATCACATAAGATGTATACGCTACAGCCCTCCTGGCCTCGTGAAATCCTGACCCGGGGATAATTTTTTGGTTGTTTAAAGTACTGTCACATAATTATGGACCCAATAAAAATAGAACCATTTCAAAAATGGGCCTAAACTGGGCTATCCAACCATTTGTCTATATACTGACTGTCCACATTTATACCTTCTTATCATATGGAAATGTGCTTTATAATAATGTATGTTTTTAAAACTTGTATAATTATGGGTTTCGGAAATAAAAACAAACAAACAGGCTAAACGGATAATTAGAATCAGGGTGGGGGAACACCCCCCCCCCCCACCAATCCGCCGGGAAAAACAGGCAAAACAGTATTATTCAATGGTGAAAGAAAAGCGCGGCCATCCTTTCGCATCCAATCCACAGAAATAATGGCCCTTGATGATACGATAACTTTATTTAATAAAGTAAATTTGTTTAATTTTTACTTGTTACAGACATTATTTTCGACAATATTATTGATAATTTGAGATAAAATATTTAAGGAAAATGAAACGATTATCCGGATTTTTCTTGGTAGGGAAATCCATGAAAAAGAATAAAGAAATAACCGACAACAAAAATACGGTATTACCTCCAAAGTACGGACTTTGTGTACAGAAGGGAGGGAAGGGAAGGGGCGCGTGACTCCGTCACATTGGTTCGCCATTGAAAAAGGAATAAACCGACCGACCTTTCGATCGTGCAATATTGTCAGGACCAGGATGAAAAACAGATTTGTATCTTTAATGTATATCTGATTCTTGTTATCCTGATTAAATATATTTCAATAAAATAAAAATGTGAATTATTTTGTCACTAGACGTGGCATATGGATCTAGTCACTGATGGGGTAAAGGTATCCGAGGAATGGAAGGGCGCGGATCATTATTATACTACAAAGTAGATACAAAGGCGGGTAAAGGGGTGCATGCTGTTTGAGCGGGTCAGATATATTCACGGTACCTTTTCTCTCTGAGTCAGCGGACCCCGGTTCCAGTCTGAGTCACGTCTTTCGGATGGTGACGTTAAAAGTCGGTTCCCATACATAAATCTGATTGAGATACTGCATTCATTCACCTCAGACTTAGTTTTGGTTTAGTAGCTTGTTGTCACAGTCGGCAGAGGTTGATTAAAGTAGTTCAGTTTTGTTTCTCTTATATCTGTATGTGTTCCCCTCTTTTTTTTTGTTGACTGTTAATTATCTACATATGTCAGTTTTAATTCAATGTCCCCCCCCCCGAGGGCCTCTTATCTAGTTCATTGTTTATATCTGCATGTAAATATGTTATATGGACCTCTGCTCTTGCAGAGTCAGTCTACGTCAGTAAATACAAACCCAAATAACCCACCCATCTTCATATTCATCCTCTCTCCCTTTTCGTTTATACCACCATGCCCAGGCGCGGATCTACGGGGGGGGTTAGGGGGTTTAAACCCCCCCCATTGGGCGGCCCCAAAAAAAAAAAAAAAAAAAAGGAAAAAAAAGAAGAAAAAAAAGAAAAAAAGAAAGAAAAAAGAACGCACGCTGGAGAGAAACCCTTTCAAGTGCAAATATTGTGAGAAGATATTCAACTCATCTGGTAACTTAACCAAACACATGATAACTCTGGATATAACTGTGTATTTAACTGTTACTCGATTTAAAAAGACGTTATCATGCACTGCTTTTTATGGTCTCCATTGTGTTAATAGATGCCAGGAAAACATCACTTACGGGGTTCAAATAAACACCCAAAAAAAAATCGGCTCGCCGCTTCGCGGCTCGTGGACGATGCTCCGCATCGTCATTATGGTCAACCCCCCCCTTAGCAAAAAGCTAGATCCGCCCCTGATGCCTTTACCTTTCCTCCCGTACCATGGGGGGGGGGGGGGGACGTATGGTTCTTAATTGCACTCCGTATGTAAGAAAAGTATTGACACGGCGCAAGCACGTACAACTGACCGAACCGATTTTAGTCGAGCGAATAAACCAGAAGGGAATCTAATTTTCCTTTCTTACTTTTTAAAAGGTGTTTATAAAGCCAATCATAACCTTTGAGTGGAGTCAGGTCTGAGTTGAGTAATCCGGTCTTTAGTCATGCACACTTGATTTTGCCTTATTTTTAAGATTTTGAAGGCGCCAATTTCACATGCAATACAAATGCTCAAGGCGCACTTATAAATCACATACAGTATGTGCACAAAGTATAATAAATAGAAACACAGAAATGAAGACTACAGTAAATATTACGGGCCAAACCAAACCCGTATGTTTTACTTTTGTGCCTATACCAAGGCTATAACTGTATTTGTATATGCTTAAATCAGGCCTATACAGTCACACAAGAGCGCGGTTCTAGAAGTCTTAATTTATTTATATATTTTGTTCTTATTTGTTCTTACATATGTTTATATATATATTATTATTATTTTTTTTTTTTTTTTTTTTGGGGGGGGGGAGCTTTGGAGGCTTGTGGCGTTGGTCTCGTCGGTTCTTGTATTCATTTTCTACATTTACTTCTCGATTTGTTTATATTTTTGGTCCGGGGGGAGGGGGCGGCCTGGGGGCGAAGCCCCCCCCCCCCCACACACACTTCGGGGTCGGAGGGGCCGCATTCGTGTACCCCAAATTCACGCAACAAAATCAGACCCGTATTGACTTTACGCACCGCGCGGAGACAGTGCTTTCAAAGGGAGGGAACATGCCAGTGGCGGATCCAGGGGGGGGGGGGGGGGGGGGGGAACAGGTAAATTTAACTTTTTTTTGTTTAAAAAAAAAAAACGGGCCCCCTCCCCAGGCACCCCAAAAAAGGAGCACTATTTTTTTTTTGGTTAAGGTGTGAGGGTGGGTTTTGAGTAAAAACAATAGTGGTCTCTACCCCCCCCCTCCCATACCCCCCCCCCCCCCCCCGTTGAGCAAAAAAAAAATTGTGCTCAGCTTATACCTACGCCCCCCCCCCCCCCCCACCCCCCTGGCTGTTTCGCCGCTAAATATTTTGTTCACGAATTGGGCCTCCTCTCTGGCTCCCTCCCTTCCCGTCGGTCTATGGATCCGCCCCGGCTGGAACATGCATACGCGTACCCTAAAAAAAAACACTGCGTAGGGGGGGGGGGGGGGCGAGCATGAGTCCGCCAGCCCCACCTTTAGAACCGCTACTAGCTGTCTATAAGCGGCAGTTGCCTCAGTGTATCTAGAACTTCTGCTTTATTTTGCCCGCGGCGTGCAGCGTTTAATCACTTTTGTCCCATTTTGCTGATCATGAGTGACGCCATATCACCCCAGTAGGACTGCATGCGCATTTCATATACAATAAGACTACTTGCGTGTGAATTTTTTTATTTTCTTAAATGATTCACGTGTGCATTGTTTCGGGTAGAATATTATGTCGGCCTAAAATGGAGAAAGAATTATCGACACAATAATGCCCGACTCGCGTCTGGGGTATATTTTATATTTTATACCAAGAAAACACAGCTCAGTAACATGTACAGGCCTATGTTTCAATCTTTATTATGCCAGTGTACTGTGGAAATTATATGATTTATAATTTGTTTATAGTTTGCCAGTATAGAAGTTTTTTGTAAATACGAGAAACGTAGTAACGTGCATTGCCCTTTGTATGTAGAAATTCCGTGTACTTTATACTGGTGTACTTATTGCGGCCTCCGTTACACGCATACAGTTCATTGCCTGCGGTCCATGACGCATGCGCACAACTAATCTTCTTCGATTTACTTTGATGTATATTTTCAGCATTGAACACAAACTATACAGTTTACTACATACACGCCGCGCCGCTGTCGTAATTTATTCAATAGTATGGTCGCGTATATACGTGTGATCTAGCAAAGCGCAAGCGGCCTGGCAAACGCTCGATGAGTAGTGTGCACGCTTTTGGAGAAAAAGAAGAAGCATTTTTAACACCGTTTTTATAAACATAGAAGCAGTTTTAGATAAAAACAAAGGTACCAATGGCTGAAGTAGATCGTCAAGCTGTGATTCTCGATTCAATTGACTCGTTGCGAAGGCGTAAAGCTCGGCCAGATTTGGAGCGAATTTGTCACATGGTGGAACGCAAATATGGATTGACCGGGGTTGATGTGATTACAGAGTTAGATCGACTGGTCGACGAAGATATTGTCATAAAAGTGGATTACAAAGGCAATACGAGCTACCGAAATGCTGCCAAGTGGTGTAAAAGTCGCTTGGGCGGGTACCAACTCAACTCAAATGACGCTACAAGGTCCATTCTGGCAGCGATTGAGAAATTGACCGTCCCGGAGTCAATGAAAGAGCCTGGTCAAGTTTTAGAGGATGATAATTGCACCCTGAATGGCGAGCCGACAAAAAGAAATAACGCGCTTGGAGGCGCAAGTTTGGAGGACATTGAGAAGTCGTTTGCCGATGAGAATCCAGACACCAAGTTCACTAGGAGGTACTTGGAGGAGGCTCTCAAGAGAGAAGTTGGTGCAAGAAGGCTCTATATCAGTCCCACCAACAAATACGTGCTGGCCAAATATGCCGTTTCCTATGAAGATAAAGAGTCGTTTCAATTGAAACGGGGCCCTCGGCCATCAAAACGAAAGGTTTGTATTATAATCGCACACGAATGTGTCCATAATAATAATCGCGCGCCACTTTTTTCCTTTGACATGATTTGGAAATTGTGATCAGAGTTCAAATTAAACGAAGCAGGTTTTAAATTTATGTCAGGATACTGCATGCGACCTTTACTCAACAAACTGTAAGTTACGTGACCAATACAATTATAATAATGAGGAGACCCCTTCCGCAAAAGAACATGAAAGCCAAATCGGTACCCATAATTCGCGCAATCCAGGCGCGTTATTCTTTGAACTGAAGATAAAGCTAGTTATACCGTTTTACAGTATGTGCTCTGGCGGACATGTTTTTCTCTCTAGTTTTATTATAACGGCTTATAAGTTTAGTACTACAAGTTCAGCGCGGAAGTAAACAAGACCATGTCCATGCGATGTTGGCATGTAGGTTCATGATTAACTAGATTGGTCAACTAAAGTTAGGATCGTTCTAGTTTTTTCTTCTCTTTTTTGTGTTATGTAAACAGTAAGCAGTCCTTTGTAAAAACACAAGGCAGATAGGCGGATTCATCATTCAGAATGTGTTCAAGCGTGCACCATTATGTATGACGGTCCCACCCATAAACAGATTGCGTATTCTTGAAACATGTAACGTTTAAGGGAGTAATTTGTCCAAGTTATGATTAGATAAAGGCCTAGAAAATGGAAATTACGTAGATTATATCATGTGACATGCTGTATAATAAAAGATAGTTCGAGTTATATTTCTTCATCGCCTCTATAAACATCATAGTTTTACCATAAAGTAGAGCCCTCACAAGGTGATTTAAGCACAATGATAATGCGATTGAGTGAGATCGAGTGGTGTGGGTTGGAGTGTGGAGAAATGAATGAATTCACAAATCCAGGGTATTAAATCCACTCTAGCAAAGCTTATAGTGGTCAATACTAATGCGTATGGGGTAATCTACTTAAACATGATATTACAGTTTTGATGTCGGGAGATATATCATTATGTAAAGAAGGCGATTACAGGGGGCGGGGCACACGCAAACGCATAGGCCTACACATTAATGTAGAAGTTCCGTGTAAACTGAAAAGAAGAAAAAAAAATGTTTTCGGGAGGGGGGGGGGGGCGTTCTCAATCGGTCTCATTGATCATAATTTATATTATTCCAATCTTTTAAAAAAAAAAATCAGAAATCCAATATTATTCAGTTAAGAAAATAAGACTAGTATGATTATTCAGGTTATACAGAAAGCTACATGTATGTACATTAATGTCGACCGGATCGTAGTATATAGGGACCGATGACGTAACGTGTGTCCATAGTCGTGAAGGGGTGCACCATAAGGAACTTGTAGCTAGATGATATGAGATCGAACAAAGCGACCGAGCGGGGATGGTAATGCTGGGTCGTATCATCTCACGTAAATTACACGCTCAGACAAGAAAAGAAATACAATGTCTTTTATCTTAGTTACAAACGACAATCTTTACGGATAGATCTTTTAGCCAGTTTTACTCTTTTTTTTTTTAAATGAAGAAATGGCCGATATACCATAAATAATAACAATGAAGTAGAAAATAGATTGGGCTCCATGTTCCTTTTTTTTGTTGCTTCTGATAAGTCGTAAATTATTATTATTATGTCAGAATGTTAATAAGCGATTTGATTTGATTAGATAATAATGTTATATAATTTATTTTATGTCGGTGACGATGGGTATAGGGGGACCCAGTATGCTGACAAATTTATCGACATTATTATTGAATGTGCCGACAGTAAATGCCCGCCGGACAAAATATCTAGGTATATCCGTGGTAGTCGGAGGGAGGGATGGGGGGGGGGGGGGGGGGGGGGGGGGGGGGGGGGGGGGGGGGTCACCCCGACTGGGGTGCGATTTATTGCCCAAAATAATAAGCAATCGGTTCTCGATAGTGCACAAGCCATCTGCGTATTTAGATAGAATCAATAATGCTCAGCAGACCGGCTCTGCACGATTGTGAACCAATATAAAATTTGTCATGGCGCATAATTCAATGAAAAGCGATGGTCACATACCGTAACATGGTATGTGCTCAGCAAGATTCTAACCATTGTAAAAAACATTAACAAATGCCAATATAACTTGTGAGTAGTTTAACGCTTGTTGGTTGACGTTACATAGCAGATACATCATTATGGCCAATTTGTTTTTCATGTGGAAGCTTGTATAGGCATATACTTTCATATTGACAAAATGTTTTTGAAGAAGAAGAAGAAGCCGTAGAAGTAGACGTAGGGAAGGGAGGGGGGAAGAGGAGGAGGAAGAGGAGGAGGAGGAGGAGGAGGAAGAGGAGGAGGATGAGCAAAACCAAATAGAAAAATCAAAAGAAAACACGAAGGTCTTATTAGTTGCTGAATATATTCTCTAATGTCCCCGTTTGGAGCTGATCAAGTTTTCGGTCAATGATGAAAGCGGATGTAGATACCGGATTAGATCATCCGCAATTAGCTCGCATTCCCCCCCCCCCCCCCCCCCCCAAAAAAAAAAAAAAAAATTAAAAAAATCAATGTTTACTTTTTCTGTAATTTTTGAATGAATTTTTCACGACCTTGTATGATAATGTATACAGTTATTTGTTCCTAATGAAAACAAACATGTGAAATTGTATGAAATGCAGAAGTTACGTCAGTTAAGTGAATGCACCATTAACTTTGAATTCGTGGAAATACCCAAACTAGACCCGGAAGTACATACATCGCATGGTTTTAACCAACTACCTGGTTTTTAGTAATAATGTTTAATTTGATAACTATGAGAGACGCCTACTTTTGCAAACGTACTATGTAGGCCTACATCACGAGATCTCTGAAGGCATTTTTTTAAATAAAAATGACCCTATAAAAGACCGGCAGGGTGTGTGTGGGGGGGGGGGGGGTTGCTCGTTTTTATTGACTGTGCTACTGTATTACTCAAGAGCAAGGGGTCAAGTTCACAAGGACGATTATGTCAATTCGCCAACATGATTATGAAAGGGGAAGTGGAAAGAGCATATATTTATGCGGAAAATGTAATAAACCCGACGTGCCCTTTTCCTTTTTGAACTTACACCTTCCATTGCTTTCTTGGTACAGTTCTCATGGCAGTCATGCATTTCTGCATTGCGTAGTCTGTTTCGTTCGTTCCCCTTTCTTCTATACTTCTCTTCCCTTCTCTCCACTCTTCCCTTCTCTCCACTTTTTCCGCTCTCTTTCTCTCTCTCTCTCTCTCTCTCTCCCTTTTTCTCTTTCCTTCTCCCCCTATATTACCCCCTCTAATGTTTTGGCACTCCTCTTAACTCGTGTTTTGAAAATTGAAAATAGGCCTAAACCCTCATGATTAATACATGCACATGTAGGCCTACACAAATAAGCTATGGGAATCATTGATATGGGGGGGGGGGGGGGGGGGGGACTAGAATACCGGGTGCGCTGTTATTTGGCAAAACTGTGTATGTGAAGAGAGACCAATATTGTTGTTCGTCTTTCAAATTGGGGGGGGGGGGTGGCGACAAGCGAGGGCGGTTGATAGAAAAGGCCCAAAGGGCGTCGATAATCTTCAGGGTTTACTTTGGATGGGGTCCGAGGGGCACACACGCATTAACTCTGGACTGTGTACGTCGTATTATAGTGTCAACGTAATTATAAAGTTGGGTTTGGGGGGGGGGGGCAGCTGCCTCACCGATCGATCGACGCGCGTGACTAGGTTCCAATGCTTGAAACGAATCAAAATAACGCACTTCATTACGCATTCATCCCAACTCTTGCTTGATATAGCGTTAGCAGCTTCGTGAATGTGAATGCACCAGATATATGCCCACTTTGACATGTAGACCTATGCATAATGGAGTAAGTGGACGAACATATACAATCTTAATGTGTTTTATATTGAATTTTCACAACTTTACCCTTTACATCGCTACACAAGTACTTCTATGATTAATGTCCACCTTTGACTCGAATAAATATACATGTCATGTAGAATACATACAGATCATTGTTGAGGCTGTATATAGGCAATTTAATGCTTTACTAGTTTTTAAAATGGTTATGGTATTTTTCACTCTCAATGCATTTTGCTTATAGTTTTGTAGCAGTTGCACAGCTATAGCTGTATAGGTCACCATTAAATCACGTGATAGGGTCACCATACATGTTTACCCTCTATCGCTCACAGTGCGTCCCTGAAAAAAAAAGGAATAACAAACGAAAACAAAATCTAATTGCGAGAAAGCTATGAGCTGTACGTAATAACGTATGCCTTCTTGTAGAAATAATATGCTCTCAAATGATCCAATAGTTGCAATAATCCATACATGCTTCACCGAGTAGCATTGTGTTGAAATGGCATGTCAAAATCCATTTTTGGTAACACAGTGAAAATGTTAGTACCGCGAACATACTGTTAGGGAAATGTATAGCTATGTTTATGCAGAATTTCGATCCGGACGTGATGATGTGCATGTAAATTACCCGGGCCCCCACTCAGTGTTATTTAGGGTACGCGTATGCTCGTTCCCTCTTTTTGAAAGCACCCCCTATCTGAGGACTGCCAACATTTCCGAACCCCCCTTTCGCGGGCTTTTCCTGCCTTGGAGACCCCCCCCCCCCCTAAATACGGGAAAATGTTCAATGTACCCCCCTAAATTCGGAATAATTTCTCAGGAGTCCAAAGAGATGAGAGAGAGAGAGAAAAAAAAACATCTCTTTTAAAAGAAATCTCCGGGTGAAAAGTCAATACACCCCTTTTTTTTTTTAGAATTCTCGAGCCGGACTTTGTCGCACGAAAAGTACCCCTTTACCGGACATTTTAATAACACGCATGCGGTCATTCCGACCCCGGAGTTGGGGGGGGGGGGGGGGGGGGTAAATTAACAGTTACTAAGAATAGAGGTGAATACCAATTTCTGAGGCCTTGGGCAAACAATCTAAGATTTTTCCAAAATCAATAAATATCTCTCGATTAATTAAAAAGTGCCCTTTAATAGCTTGAAAATGGTGCCCTTTCGGAGAGAAAAAAAACACAGATTCTGATTAGTTACTCCCTGTCTTATGTACCCGTTGGACCATACATGTACCCATCCCCATTTTCGAAATTTAAGGTGCCCTTTACTTTAATTATTGTGGAATATAACTGGGCTGTCTGCCTTGCTTTGGTATAGTAGAGATTATTAAGCGAGATTATTATTCAGAACCTCATTTCGGAAGATGGCAATGGTTTAGATTTTAATATCTAATGTTATTTAATAACATTTTTTTTTAAAATCTGATCGAGGTAGGATTATTATAATTACGGTGTGCGTTTGGCTTTCGACTTACACGATCTATATTAAACGGCGTGGCGGGGAAATTTCTTGTATGCGGCGCGCGGTTTTTCAGTGGTCATGGTGATGGAGCTTAGAATAATATTTTCCGGCGAAAAATTAATATGCATTGAAGTTTAAAATATTAAAATACTTGACAGTGATACTGTAATATAGAATGCATAAATAATGCTATATTGTGTTATGGATTATCCTGACTGTACTCTTTTTTCACAATTGACGTGGGGTCCCCCCCCCCCCCTCTTGGCTACGCCACGCCACGTCAAATGCATTTGTTTTTATGTCTCCCATGTGTTTTCCTTAATTGATATATAGAGTTCTTCCACCCATTACCCCCCCCCTCTCTCTCTCTCTCTCTCTCTCTCTCTCTCTCACTCTATTATACTTTCTTTCTCTGGGTCCAATTTTTAATCTCACGGGCTGTCTGTGTTTCCGGCTCTGTCTTTTACTTTGTATGGTGTAACCATGGATCTACATAATGGTGTAACTGATGATAATCATTATTATCCAGTTTTACATAACAATATTTTGAACAATTTTGATTTAAGCTCGGGCTTAAGATGGAGGTCTCGTGCATTTTTCAATTTTAAAAATGGTTTATCAACTATTAAGGTATAATTAATAGATTAATATTGATATGATTATCTTAACCTTTTTTAATGAAATAAAGAAAATAAGCAGAAATGAAATTAGATAAATAAACACATTTTTAATGTATCATCCATATTTTATTCGTATAACGTACAGCGCATCAGGAAGACACATGGCCCAGACTTCGAGCAGGAGCCCCTGATAAAAACCTCCATGTGGGACCAAAGATGTGACTACTGCACTTTACCTGCTAGCTGCAACAAGTTCGGAGATAAAGAGGAACTTCTCGTCTGCAAGGACTGCACTATAAAAGGTGACCCCTACAAGTTGCGATGACGTCATTCTCTCACCCATTTTCTATACTTGAAACTCTTTCTGTCCACTTTCCTCCTTTCGTTTGCCTGCTTCTCTTATCCTCGATCCTTATCTCCCACTCACACACAACCCCTCTCCTTCCTCTCTCTCTCTTCACTTTTTCGCCATGTCCCTCTATCATATTGTTTGCCGAATAGACCCGACCAATCATCTTGCTATCCAACCTCCTTAAATAGTACAATTTGAAAATTAATTTTATCTATTGGTTTAAAATTGTTATGTCAACCTTGCATCTTACTTGCGTTGTTATTGCATATGCCTATTCTGGCTGAGTATTGTATTTTTATGTATTTGATGTGTTTTTATGTATAATTTTAATTTTTTAATACATGTTTCTTCACAATTCGGCAACGCATTGCCGCGGTGAGAATATGAAGAAAACCATTGCATTACATTTAATTGAACTGGAAATATACGGGCAGGTCCACGTCACATTTCCATACATTCAATTCAATTCAATTTAATTCAAATTAGGTTTTATTCAATCTCGTCAAAAAGTCCAATGACTAAAAATGCGAGGTTACATCATACATAAATTATATTAAAAAAAACATTCAAAAACATATACGGAAAACATAGCAAATTGGAAAAAATATATCAAAATAAATAAATAAATATTTACCAAAAAACAACAAAATGAAAACAAAAAAACACACCATTACCGATGTCATCAATGATTTCATTTTACCTGATGATTAAAATGAATTGAACGCCTACTAGAGTTCGGATCAGACCAAATACAGAGGGAAAAGACATTTTTCATATAAAACTTTTTGTTTAATCTTCATCATTCTTGTACGGTCGTACACATAGGCCAATAATTAACTACTTTAAATACTTTGGACTTTGCAGGTGTACATGGTCACTAATTCGTAAAAATGGATATTGTACAATTAACGTTTAGAGAGATATGCGCAGTACTATGGAACACCATTGTTTATTGTGAATCAGCTTGTAACAGCTGGTCGAATAGTGAAGACGCAAATGCAGTTGGTGGTCCATTTTGAATATGATAATAATCAATCTATTGTTACCGCTCTATTCATGTTTTCACGCGTTGTAATTATTCAATTCAATCATTACGTTATGCACGCATTCCTGAGTCCATTCGTTTTTATTTTCATATCTCTCCTTAATTTTCGCACCCTTGCAGTTCATCCGTCGTGCATGAAGTATTCCCGCCAACTCGCAGAACGATCACGATTATCACCATGGCAATGCATCGATTGCAAGACGTGTCACGTGTGTAACGATGCAGGCGACGCGGTAAGTGAAATAGGAAGAAATAAACGGTCGTCTGACTCATCAACGATATCGATGTCAAGTTCGTTAATTTCAAATGCGCTCTAGTGGTTTCATATCTTTGTGCTCGCGTACCGATATCCAAAAAATATTTCATTTTCGTTTTTTTATAAAAACAATCAGCGCATGAAAACTTGGGAGCGCAGCGCTATTGGAGCACATTTAGGAGATGAAAATGTAGCTAGGGTTCTTCTCAAAATAACGTTCAGTGGAATGTGATGGACCCGGAATATTGGATTATGAGGGGGAGGGGGGAGGGGGGGGGCTGCCCAGGCGCGGATCCACGGGCCGATTCTAACGGCCTGGCCCCCCCCCCCCCCTAGCCTCCAAAATCGGTTTTTAAAAAATAGGATAGTAATGTAAATTTTACCTTAAAAAAAAAAAAAAAAAAACCTGACCACGCCCCCCCCCCCCCCCCCCCCCCCAAAGAAAAAAAAAAACTCTTGCTGCCGGCTGGATCCGCCCCTGGTCACAGATGGGTCGTTACTGTTACACTATATGGACAGATTGGATAGATGTGTAAATCATTGAAATTATAACCAGTATACGATGCGAAAATGATTCTTCTCCAACTTCCGGATACCAACCTGGGAATTTTTGTTGCGTCCTATGGGACGCAATTACTCACTGCTTTTGTGCGTGCGTGCGTGAGATTTGGTTATTTGTTGAGTCCAGGACGCAATAACGGAACTTTCAGCGGCACTTGCTTAGACATGTATATATTGCTCTAAAAACAAATCTACCAATAATGTGAGAGGAAGAGAAGAGACGGTACTCGCTTGTATTATATTTTAAACAGAAATTTTATTTTCACCTATAAAAATGTACTTAAATGGTCAACATTGAATTTTTTAGTATCTAGCAAGTGTCTCATTTGAGTAAATATTGCTTCAGACGATGATTTACTTCATTCAACAAAAATATTGTGACCTGCCAGTGACTCAAATGCGGCATCAAAATATTTGTGCTTCTCTGACCGTAATTAAATGCCTAAAACGCCCGAGCTTTCGGGGGCTCCGTCCCCTGAACCCCTCACATCAATTTACGCTCCGCTCGCTTCGCTCGCTACCCTCTACCTGATCGTAAATACTTTAGCCCCGCACTTTGATAAACGTTCCGCGGGGCCTGTGTATATTATATACGCAAATAACACTGATCTTTATCATGTCTTTAACGTGACATATAGCTTCTTCTCCCCTTGCAAACGAGAAAGAAAAAAGAAAACAAGGTCGTGAAAAGTAATGATTGTGATTCAAATTGTGCAAATATTTGTTTGAATAAGCACTGCTATTCACCAGAATCTTCTTTGTAAAAACAACTTTTACAAATCTCAGCCATGCTTACTGAGTTGAGACGTTCCATTCAATTTGAAATACTCATTAAAGAATACACTTCTCCTAATCTGAAAGTGATCTTACAGCACAGTGGCAGAATTGCATGCCTGAGATTTGTATAAGTCGTTTTTACAAAGAAGATTCTGGTGAAAAGCATTGCTTATTCAAAACAACATCTTTGTATCAATTTGAATCGCAATGATTATTTGTCGCATGATCCTTTTATCAAATAACCTTGTTTTCTTTTTTTATTTGCAGGGGGAGAAGAAGCTATGTCACGTTAAGAAATCATAAAGATCGGTTGTATTATGCGTATATACATAATGAATACAGAACAAAATGTTGATTATCAGAATGTTATTTTGGAATACCTTTATAAAAATACCCGATCTTACTGTGCCGATACCACATTGTCTTTAGCCCGTATCAGTATTAGTATGAGCCAATATAAAGTTATTATTCCTTATTCAGTTCAGTATAATGCTTTTCCTCAAAAATAGTTTCGCTATTTTTTTCAGGGTTTAACGCTAAGAAATGGTTTCAAATATACATTACACAAAACCTGAACCATCGCATAATGATGGTGGTTCTCTCTCTTTCTCTCTCTCTATTTATTTTAATCTTGCATTATCAACTACATAGAAAGCAGCAACAAAAAACTTAGGGTTATCTAGAATAGGTGAAAGTGAGAGTTAAAAAGAAAGTCATGTAAAAATGGCGCTTCACCTCCCCCCCCAAAAAAAAAATAAGATAGTAGTCCTCCACTCCAGCATCCCCCCCCCCCCCCGCCCCGCTTATTCACTGGCGCAAAAATGTCCCCAAAAAACTGGGCCCCTCCCCCCCCCCCCCCCCCCTCATTCGCCGTTCGCCGGCTGCTGATTCACCGCTAAATATTTGGCCCCCCCCCCCCTCTTGCCGCCGGCTGGATCCGCCCCTGGGGCTGCCAATACAGACCTAAGGGTAACCGCATTTTTGTGGGCTCTAAAAGTAATTAAGTATATAACATATGTTTTGCATTAAAATCGTGCACTTTTGTGATCGAAAAAGGTAGATAATAAACAGTATATATAAAACCATTACGTTTCCAACTTCAGGAGCAAGTAGTTATTTCCTTTTTGCAGTGCTGCCGTTTTCTATTTCTGCGTGAAGAGTATTAGCTTGCTTTTTAAAAATCAATAATAATGCTACTAAGTGTGATTCTTTGTTTTTATGATTTACGTACAATGGTTATATCATCAACAGGCGCACTGGGGGAGGGGGCGGAGAGGCTCAGATATTACAAGGAATTTAATAAAATCCAATTTCAAAATGATTATCGAAAGCAATAACTGGTGATTGCAAATATCGGACTGTCGTATAATTATGTATAGATCCGTCAAAACGATTTTCAAGTATAAGACTTCATACATGTATTTCCTTTTCAGTTCAGAAACATTAACTGCTAACATTGTAGATAGAGATTAAAAAGTTGTGTACGATCGGCGGTTGACAATGTATAGATTTTTTTTGGATCTGCAGGATACTCTACTCTTTTGCGACTCGTGTGATAAGGGCTACCACATGGCATGCCACAACCCCAAAGTGGAAGAGAAACCACTCGGTAAGGATGGTCGATGGTTTCGTGATAACAGGGTCGGTAAAGGGGGTATCTCACTGAGCAGCGAATGCTTGCGAACGTTGCGAATTTTGGCAGTTGGCGACTATTAGCAACTGTAAGCAAATGTTAGCGACAGTATATTAGCCAAGATTAGCAACTATTTGCCAATCCTTTGCCACTATTTGTGAATATTTGGGACCTTTTACGAACCCTGGCGAAACCCCGTATTCGCTACATTAGCAAGCAATCGCCGCTCAGTGAGATACTCCCTTTAAGGATTGGTGGAAAAATGAAGGGATGGAGGAAGGGCAGTATGTTAATGGCATCGACGTTGATTAGTTTCTAGATTGAACTTTGACTGTGTTAACAAATTGGATAGGGAGGGGTGGTGAGAGGGCAGATGGAGAGGGGAGGAGGGAGAGAAGGAGGGAGGTTGAAGGAAGAGATGAACAGAGTAGGGGGAGATACGAAGTGGAGGGAGGGGGATGAGGAGGACATAGTGTTATGTGTTGACTATTTTTTACTAGAATGTTGTATTCTTTATAACAGAAGCATTAATTGACAGACAACAAAACAAAATGATAACTCTTTTAGAATCTTTTGCCCCTTGACCCAACTTTGAACTTTTTGTTGCCGACGAGTTGAATTTGAACAAAATCTCAGTAAATTTTCTTCATGACTCACTTGCTTGGCTTTATAACTATCTAACCATACAGGAAGGTGGGTTTGTGAGTTATGTGCAAGTGAAGACATGGAAATCGGCAGTAATTTTACAGGTGAGTGATTATATCTTTTCCGTCGCTCTATTGATTGATTTTGATTGATTGAAAAGGTTTTTATTATGATTGCACTTCGCAGCCAAAATGGCTGAATTATTGCCAATTTACATTGGCAATAATACATACAAATGTGGTTTGAAAAATAAATCAACTTTTGATAATAGGATCTCTTTTGGGTAAATCATCAATTCGTCTGAATTTACATGAAAATAAATAATTGAGAGTTGATTGGTTTATTGCTAATAATTATCACGGCAATTCCGTTTGTTTGTTTTTTAGTTTTATAATTTGTTATTAATCAGTGACAACAATAACATCAGCAGTGTGTCTGCTTTAGGTGCTAATTGTTATTCTTTAATTTAAAGAAATATATTGTTCTACTTTTTGTTTTTTTTACTAGATGAAGATTCGGTTATCTCGTCTTCAGGGAGCGCCGGTTCTCATATAGAAGAAAAAAATGATTCAGTGAAAAAAGAGTAAGCATCCCTCGATTGCCCCTCTACTCCCCCCCCCCCCCGGCTCTCTCTCTCTCTCTCTCTCTCTTTCTCTTTCCCGCCCCTCTCTCTCCCTCTTTCTCTCTCTGCACCCCCCCCCCCCCCAGCTGAATGTTAATTTGACCAGGACCCTGTCTCATGAAAAGTCCTCCAATCAATCGCAAGTTGTAGTCCCTTTTCTCTTATGCACATTGTTGCGATTGATATCAATCGCAAATGAGTCGCGATCAATCGCCAGCTTACAAGATGGGGCCCAGATTCTTAAAAATCTTTTTGTATCTTATAAGGCCGGCGACCCATCATTTCTGAGAATCGGGAGGTCCGGCAGGATTAATGGGGGAAAATGATTCTCCGAAAGAAAGTAATCGGGAAAATGTTGTGTTTTTTGCGCACTTAAAGCTCTTCTCCCCCTCCCTTTGAAGGATTATGAATATACCCAGGATAATATGATGATGTTGATGACGATTATCAAGATTCCGACGATGAAGATGGTGATGATGGTGATGCAGATAGTGATGACGCTGATGTTGATGATAGAAGGCCTGTCTCCATCAGCTCAAGATTGCCATATATCCCGCTATTTGAACTATCCCGATCGCAAATTATCCAGTTAATTTGAGTCTTCATCAGCCCGAAGTTGCAATTAGCGAGATATTTGGTCGAGATTGTCATCCCAAGATATCTTGGGCTAGTTTGCAAAATATCCCGCTAATTGTCCGGTGCGTTTCCACCAGCCCGAGGACTCGCACTATGCGCGAACGCTGAGCAAAATATCTCCAGCTAATTTCTCGAGCTCGAGTTTCAAGTTTCGAGGACAAGTCTCGAGCTGATGAACACGCGATTTGTTACTTCGGGATTATTATATTGGGCAATCTCGAGCTGATGAGGATAGGCCGAATGATGATCATACAGCTACGTAAAAATGTCAATAATCCTAAATTTTCCATTCTTTTTTTTTCTTTGATTGTTCACCAGATCTTCTGAAACATCGGGTCAGGTTACTCCTGACGTCGCGACTCCCAACCAATCTAGAGTAGCCAACCTACCCGTACAGTCAGCTCAGGCTAATACCTCATCCTCTTCACCGCCTGGGACCAGCCATCCAAAGCATCCAGCTCACTGGTCTCTCGAAGATGTCGTCAAACTCCTTCAGGAGAAAGGGTTTAAGGAGCAAGCAGAAAGTTTTAGGGATCAGGTAGACTAGATTAGATTTTAAGGATTCATTGCGGTATTTTGAGTAACAAAAATCAAAGCACTGTATATCAACGGAAGGTGCGAGGCTGCTTGCAGTTCTTAGAATTTTGTTTATAGTTTTTCGAATGAATAAACACGGGAGGAATTTAAGACGACCGCTGTTAAAGTATAAACATGAAATTCTTGTGATTCATGACTTCTCAGCTGATGAGAGCGACAATTCCGCGTATTCCCTGCTGTTGCAATATTGAATACACTGTATTCGTTACACAATATTCCCATTTTAGTTGAAACACCTGCAAATTTTAAGGAAGTGCTGTGTGTGCGACTGGAACGCGCCGGCCGATTCGAAACATCAGATTTTTTCATGGAAACCATGGAAACCATGGAAACCCACTCTATCAATGCAATGTAGAGTGATGTGCGGCCAATATTTCGATGTATGTGTTCCTATGATTTCGGTTAGTCGGACCATGCGTATAGGGTCTATGGTCGGACAGAATGCAAGGAAAACTTTGAAAAATTATGTGTTCGGGATCGTCGGCATATCATTTTAAATGGGAAAGAAGCCGGTGGGTGTTCGACAGCCTGGTTAGCCGAAAAATATTCCATTTCAGATCAATCAAGACCCCTTAAAAACGGATTTGCCGAATTAAATTGTATAGGTGATTAGGGGGTTCGACAGGTTTGTCGAAAAGGGTTAATATAATACCCCATTCACAGTGGTTTTGAAATTTGTAGCGGCGTTGTAGCGGAGCGGCGACACCGCCATAACACCGCTACAAATGCATTCACAGTAGAAAAGTTATCCCGCTGCAGCAGCGGGATAAATATCATGTACCCATTCACGCTGCAGCGGGTGATTTTTATTACCTCCGTAACAAACACGTGTATGCATGGCTCATGACCCGCGAGTGACCCCGATATGACCGGAAATACTTCAGCGCGGGGTTTTCGATTGAGGCAAGCTTGCAAAAGGTAAACATGTCAAGTTGCTTTTTGTATCCTCGATCATATTACTTTTTAAAAAACTAGCATTTTTATTGCTTCCAGTCAGAATATTTTAATTTTTTGAAGTGTGAAATATGTTTATTTGGATAATTATAATATCTACATAATAATAAAATCAATTTGAATCCACTGGTTACTTTATTTCTATTTCACTTTATGTTCCCCATTGCTGGAGAAAAGAGGTCAGTGATAGGTAAGTAAACAAATCACATGTGTTTGTCGCGGTGTTATAGCGGAGAGCCTTCACACTGAGTAAACACCGCGACAGCAGCGGGACTGTCCCGCTGCTGTAGCTAGGCGAACCTAGCGATAGTTTGTCGCGGCGTTATCGCGAGGCGGTGTTATCCCGCGATAGTTTATAACGGGTCCGAGCCTTCACACTGAAGACAACACCGCGACAGCAGCGGGACAGTCCCGCTGCTGTCGCGGTGTTTGAGGCCACTGTGAATGGGGTTTAAGATTCTTTTAAAGCCTGCTTAAACGGATTTTCCGAAAATAAGTTATAGATTTAGTGGGGGGTACGATAACCCATTTTATGTATTTACCAAATCTATTTATTGACGATGACGATCATGCTATAAGTTCATATATTGAGATAACTGGTTTCATGGATTAACGTTTCTCCATTCTCGTTTGTTATATTATTATGTACCATTAGGAAATCGATGGCCATGCGCTTCTTTTGCTGCGACGTTCAGACGTCCTGACTGGCCTGTCATTCAAGCTTGGCCCCGCCCTCAAGATTTATGAAATCGTTAGCAAGCTCCAGCTAGTACAAGCCAAAGACTCTCCGATTAAAGCAAAGACCAAATCATCGCTGCAAACAACATCAAAATCTTCGTCGTCGTCGTCGTCTTTGTCTCAGTCTTCCACAAAGAGCAAGCCGTCCACTTCATCAACGAAGGCTCCTTCTCCGTCAAGAAAACCAAGCAAGACAAAAGCTTCCGGTCCTGCAGCGAAGCCATCCCGCCGCCCAAAAAGCCATCTGAAGCCGGTAAAAAGCAATCGCCACCGAAGACTGCTACTCGCGCCAAAGACATCTCGCCCAAAACTGAGTCCCAGTCCGCCAAGGTCACTTCGCAGGCGAAATCAACACCAACACCGAAAGCATCGCCCACCGACCCGGCCCCGCAGTTAGACATGTCGACTCCAGCACCAGTTGTCACACCTCCAAAGACGGAAGCTAAGTCGCCTAGGAAGTCGAGTACGTCGTCTAGAACGACACCGTAATAGTAGTGGCAGTAGCTTTTAGTTGGTATAATTGCAAATCTGATATCAGAATAACGGATAAAGATGGATCATGTATTGGTAGGAATTGTACCTGGAAGACTGGGAGTACTTGGCGATTAATCTGTTTTTTCTATCATGGGCATCTTACAGGTAATTTTGTTTTCCTTCCATAAACGTAACTCCTAAATCTGATTATTCGACCAAGGTTGATTTATTAAAACCAGTGGTATTAATTAATCACACAGTAATCGGTGATAAAAAGGTCTAAGTCCTGAGTATTAACGAATATCGGATAGCCTGACCGTACATTTAAATTTTTGGTTTATTCATGACTACTGTTGATGCTCTTTAATATAGGGAGCTAAAAATAGATAATACTAGCAAATTTTGAGGATTAATCGTATGGTGTTTCATCAAGAAAAGCCATTTCTCTTTAAAATGGGGTAATCTTTCATGGAAATGGAACTATCGTTTCGCTTAGACGGGAATAATAATGAAATGCCTTATCGATAAAATAATTAGAACCAAGCAGTTGATTGAAGATTTCAACTCCATTATGCAGCAAAATTAATATTTATGTAATCACGAGCGAGAAATTGCACATACACGTATAATAATGTCACGAATATTTTATTTTGAACTTTCTCACTGACAACAACCAACTTTTTGTAGTTACAAATGATGACTATTAAAGTACGTTTTTACGTCAATATAAGCTGCTTTATCCAGTGTTAACATAATCGTATTTAGCAGTACACTTACATCAGTACTTCTACAAGCTGCATGACTAAACAGTATATAATTGTTTACTGAATGAATATGGCCGAAATACCTCTCTGGTTTGGCTTTGATAAAGCAAAATTGTAAGATGCTGCAGCTCGATTCGCCGTCGTGAACGTAATTTGTTGTGTTATCAGTCTTTATGTATGTAGTGAGCCTCATTATAAAATGGGTTCAAGAATGTAGCCAATGAGAAGCGTCGAAATGGATCACGTGAGCGTGCATTAATTTTTTACCATATGCATGTATGGGGAGTGCATTTTGGTCATAACAATCGTCATCCGGGATCGTCAATTTCTCGAATTTATACTCGTATTGTAGACCGATCTTATAACACAAATAATACATGTTTTTAGCTCGTGCATTAGTGATATGCACTGCACTTGGTTAAGTCAGGATGATGAACTCGATTAGTTACTCGAAAAGTCTCATTTATTGTCCTACAGTGACTTAACCTAGGTGCAGCAGGGGTGGATCCAGCTGGAAGCAGGGGAGGGGGCCCAATTCGTCAATTCGTGAGAAAATATTTGGCGGCGAAACAGCCGATAGTTCGCTCAGTGGTGGGGGGGGGGGGGGGGGGGGGGGGGGGAGGGGGGGGGGGGGTAGTGAGCACTAATTTTTTGTTTTGGCCCTCAAAAATTTGAAAAATAGCACCCCCCCCCCCCCTTGAGAGCCAGGGGAGGGGGCCCAACTCCCCCAAAAAGTAAAATTCACGTGTTTTTACACGCTTTTTCCCCTCTAGATCCGCCACTGACGTGCAGTGCATATTCACTAATGCACTCGCAAACATGTATTATATGTATAGTGCTATATCGTTCATGATGGAGCAAACGCCGTGTGACACTTATTTTATACGCTAAATGTTTGCGTCAATTAATATGTACAACACCTCATGTGTTGATGAGCTTTTGTTACTATCATATCCTTGTTTTGTTTACAATTTTGCGTTAAGTGCATTTACTTTCTGTTTTAAGTGCGTTTTTAAGTGCGTTTACGTGCATTTAACTTGGTTTGATGGAATGCTTGTTCACCAATTGGTGGTTGTTTTGATCTTGCAGCGACAAGTTGATTAATAGTAGGATGAGTTTATATGCAACCTGCCATGCGTAAAGTACGCGTTAACGTTAACGTTTGAAAGTTGAAACAGTCATGTGTTCAATTCATTATAATTTGTTTTTTCCTTTTTTTTCTTCATGCTATATGATTATGATATGTACGGGTTTTCTAACATGAAATCCGGATTTGAAAACTTCGGAAACGTGTTCAGAACTGATGATGATTATAACGAATATTGTAAATAGTGCTGATTTTCTGATGGTGAGCTTATATAATTAAGCGATGTGTTAATATGACATAGTTTTACTAAAAACAGTCATGTGTTCAATTCATTATAATTTGTTTTTTCCTTTTTTTTCTTCATGCTATATGATTATGATATGTACGGGTTTTCTAACATGAAATCCGGATTTGAAAACTTCGGAAACGTGTTCAGAACTGATGATGATTATAACGAATATTGTAAATAGTGCTGATTTCTGATGGTGAGCTTATATAATTAAGCGATGTGTTAATATGGACATAGTTTTACTAATATGCTGCAAAAATATGTGTGTGTGTTGAAAACAGCTGTTTACACGTAAAATCACTACTTATTTTGATGGAATTATTGTGCACTGTCGATTTAAAAAAAGAGTTCTGGTATTAAAAACACAATCGCAACTACATTCGAAAAATCAAGTCAAGAGCTTTTTCAATATATAACCCGTGGTATGTCCTAATAAATCATGTTTGTAATGTCGGATTACGTATTACAAGTCATGTACATCATTGTCATGTTCGTACGTTTCAAAAGATGACAGCTAGACGGGGCTATCGCAACTTTCTTAATTTGATATTTCGAAAGTAATTGCAATTGTGTATTTTTTTAGTTAAAAATTGCAAAATGTATCCAGATTGTGGACAGGATAACGAGATCTTTCGCAACGGCATAAATAGCCGGTTTCTCTTTATTATTGACACTGTCTTTTACACGATAAGAGAATTCTAATCTCTTGTTTAAAGCGATAGTTTCGTTCATTGTAATCATGGTCATATTTTCTTGGACCTTGGATCTTGCACGTCCCGTTTTATGTTTCGTTTGAACACTGTATACGAATAAGAAATTAGTTCACGATTGCAAAGCAAAGCAATTCTAATAACCTTGTGAGCCACCTGTTTAAAACGTGTGAACATTACAGTGACATACTTCGCAAGCCGAACATGGTTTATATACACAGACGCCATAATAGGGGTACTGAAATGGCCCTATAAAGCTTGATTTCTTGAAATTCTTTGCGATCATGTTCAACGTAATCCTCTCTTTAAATTGTGTTAGTGTTATTTTATGTCTTCTATTTATTTCTCCTGAGTTGTTATACTTTTTTTTTTAAATTCAAAGTACTTGGCTTTACACAATTCGTTTTCTGTAAAGACTGGGGTTATCCTTTTCTGTCACCTCTTGTTACCTTATAGAAACTATTTCATCGTACTATTTGTTTGAGAAAAAAAAACGGTTTGATATTATTGGTGATTAATCTTAAAATTTGATTTGATATGATTTTCTATTTTTGTAAGAGGCAAATCTCTCTTAATTGTGTTCACGAATTATGTTTCAATTCATTTAACAGATTTAACAGAATGATAAGTGTTGATTTTCGTTTGGAATTATTTGGTCTATTTTCTTTAATTCACTTCTGAATAAAGTTGTTCAAATGAAGCACTGTACTACTAGTGTCCTTTTTAAATTATACGTTGGTTATTTTGCTGGCATCGTGTAGGGAAATATTCGATTTGCATTTTCTATCCATTGAAATCATGGCATGATTTTTAAGGCGACTTATGAACTCCACCACAACACATACCTACACACGCGCACACACGCACAACTCCACACACTCAAATGGATTGTATAAAAGAGAATGCACTTTACATAGTAGTAATCAGTCTGAATATAGAATCGTAAAAAAAAGCTAAATTATAATTACTTTTCACCCTTTCTTTATGACCTGGGATCTTAATGCATGAATATTGCAGTGAAATAAACTCCAAAACTAAACCCTAATAATAAAATTTGCGTTTATCTTATCACAATTGTTAATGTATGCAAGAAGACTTTGGTCAGGGCGTCATGCAAATTTTTTCGCCCCCTTCCCTCTTTTTGCACATCTCTCTCTCTCTCTCTCTCTCTCTCTTTCTCTCTCTCTCTATCCTTCTTTCTCTGTCTCTGTCTCTCTCTGTCTCTCTCTCTCTCTCTCTCTCTCCACCTCCTCCCTCTATCTTCACCGCTCCCACTCTCTCTCCAATCTCTCCTTACCTATCATCCCTCTTACCCTGACAATCAAACGACACAATGTTCAGAAGAAGAAAAAATGAGCAATTTATAATATTCAGGTTCGTTTTGACATTTCATGTTTTCAATGAATTTATTGACTTTGTCGTTATTGATTCATAATTCATTCATGAGCAAATAATGAATTTGATTCATCATTTTCTAAAAAAATAATCAAATATAAATGAAATGAAATTGATATTTTCTTTCTCTTGAAAGGAAAACGAAAATTAAATATTATTTTCGACTTAAAGTCGCTCGAAAATTAAATTTTACACAAACTCAAGTTTTCATTCCTTGAACAGGTTGAAGAAAGAATCGTTCTTCTTTAAGATAATTTATAGTATAAAATGACAATTGAGCAACAGACCAATAATTAAGGTAGTACAGAACAATTAAATACATTGAGCTCAACCAACCATTGTCATGTATTGTAAATGTAATGTTAGACTTTGAGCTTCATTTTTTCACTTTCCAGCATTCAATACAACGTTGCGTTGCGGCTCATTCTAATACTATGGATAAGAAATACATTTTATTTTGTATCACACATAGGTCCTAAAGTTCAGTCATGAATGAGGGTTTTACTATGCTGTCGTCAACAGATCGCTGATGACAACTTAAAGGCCCACTGCACTACTTGTAGCTACTTGCGCCCTCTATATAACAAACAATGCCTAATCGGTGACCATTGGTCCCCCATGATCCTCTTTTTCTTATGTTAACTGAGAGCTGAGTTGATGAGATAACCACCGGTCCAGTGACCTTGCAGGGCGCTCTAATCCCTCCTGTAAACTATGGCAGATAAGCTTTAAGTTATACGCCAACCATGTCAAACTCAACAATAGGGGCA